AAAAGGTTTTTGTCTACTTTCTTTTGTCTACTTTGCGAATATCTAAATTAATCTTGAATTATATATACGAGTCTGTCGAAAATATCGTACGTTTGGCAGGGGTGTTGCCCCCCTCTTAATTCTCAGAAAAAATATATATACAAGGACAACTGGTCTTCCAAACTTCATGTCTTGATTGTATATATATATTATGGCTCGTTATTTTTTTCTTTTTGTCTTATTTGAAACGTATTTGGTGTAAATGCATTGGAAAGTATGGTTTGTTATCACTTTCATTGATAAACTTTCTCATTCATGCGACATCGTGCGTGTCTCATCCCTTACTATTGTTTCGGAATATAAATATTACCACGCTGCCTTGACACAATGGACAGTTTCGTAAAGGTGAAAGTGCATGGGCTGAAATAAGACGCAGGATTTCTCTTTTATCTTCTCCCTTAAATAAGATACGGTAGCAAATATTTTCCCTTGTAAATTAAAGAGAGAAAAAAAATATCAGCCATACGAGAAATATCTTGCCCTATATCGCTGAGAGACGCAACGTGTACTCACCCTGGCATTGTACCACACGGCTCTGCTTCTCTTCTCGCATTTTTCCTCTCCGTGGATGCCATTGAGAGTAGCTAGTGTGTAAAGAAGAGCCACACACGACCACCTGGGCAGCATCCTACCCGACGGTAAGACCACCTGCATGGTTCTGGCTGGACTGACTTGCCGCAAGACAACAGCAGCGCAGGTCAGTCGGTGGGGGAAAAGGGAACCCGTTTCCCCCCTAGATGTACGATAATATGTACGGTTACCTTTAAATTATTGGGCTATTAAGATGTGGATTTAGCTTGAAATTTGTTCTTTTAGATATTTATTGTTTTTTTGTTTATCGATAGCTTGAATTAGACTTTGGAGTTTCATGTAGAGTGTGTGTTTGACGTTGGCAAATTCCCCTTGTCTTCAGATATTCCCCTGACAGCTACAGTGTGGAAATGCCAGATACGTAATATCTTGTTCATTATTTTATGCATAACATGAGGCTACAACATAATAAGATTAATACGCTCATGTTTCCTGCATTCTCTGCGCCAAGAAATGAAATGAACGATGCTTATATTGCATCAAATTATCCCTGGAAAATAATAGGTGACAACTGAATATGCTGTCACTGCGTGGCGCATTCCTGCCAGGCGTACGAGTAAATATAAAAGAACTTTAATATGCCAAATTGAAAGATTTACCGTTTTTCATGACTTTAAGAATAAACAATAAAACATCGAGAAAAGGTCTGGATGTTGAAAGACATATTTAACTGTCATTTATTGTCAATTCTTGATACACATTACTTCAGTTACTTACAAAAACGTTTTCAAAAATTCTTTAAAAAAGCGAGATAGTTTACAGATGAAATTCATCATCCACATGTATGATTATATCCACATCCACATGAGTATGTCTGGCATCCACCTCGTCCACATCCATCTCTATAACATCCACCATTTCTTCGTTAATCTATCCAGCATCCACTTTAATTTGCCCGGTTCATACCACGTCAGTTTCTCCACCATCCACCTCTCTTACATCCACCTCATCCACATCCACGTCTCCAGTGTCCACCTTTTCCACATTGATCTTTCCAGCCTGCTTTTCATCCACCTCAGTTGCTCCACCACATCCACACTAATTTCTCCAGCATTCTTTCTATCCACATCACTTGCTCCACCACATCCGCATCCACCTTATCCATCACATCCACATCAATTACTCCACCACATCCACATCACCTCATCCACATCAATTACTCCACCACATCCACGTCATCCAATCAATTACTCCACCACATCCACACTCCACCTAATCCACAACAATTCCTCCACCACATCCACACTCATCCACATCCGATTGCTCCACATCCACACAATTGCTCCACCATCCACAACAATTACTCCACCACATCCACATCCACCTCATCCACATCAATTGCTCCGCCACATCCACAACAATTGCTCCACCATCCACAACAATTACTCCCACAAATCCAATCACCTCATTCCTCCACCACATCCACTCCACATCAACAACAATTACTCCACCATCCACATCCAATCACATCACTCCCCACATCCACAACAATTACTCCAAAAATCACACATCCACTCTCATCACATCATTCTCACCAATCCACCTCATATATCCACATCATCAAACATTACTCCACCACATCACTCCAATCCACATCAATTACTTCACACATCCACAACAATTGCTTAGCTTACTTCCACACACCATCCACAAACAATTATCCACACACATCCACACATCCAACCTCATCCACATCAATGCTCCATCACATCAAAACAATTACTTCCAACATCCACAACAATTACTCCACACAATCCACAACAATTACTCCAACCACAATCCTCCAATCCACTCATCATCCACAACAATTGCTCACCAACCACAATTAACCCACACCATCCACATCCACACATTCCACACATCACTGCCTCACCACATCCAAATCAACTGACCGGCCACATCCACACAAATTTCCACCACAATCACAACAATTACTCACAACATCCACAACAATTACTCCCACATCACATCCACTCATCACATAAATTGCATCACATCACAACAATTACTCCACCACATCCACATCCACTCATCCAACAATTATCACGCCACATCATCCACTCCTAGTCCACCTATCCACACAATCCACCACAATTCGCCCACATCCACACCACCACATGTTTTAACTCCACAACAATTACACCACATCCACAACAATATCCACCACATCCACATCAACTTGCCTCACCACATCACACAAACTGATCCACCACACCCACCTGTCCCCGCATTCCAATCGACCCAATCCACACTGCAACGAATGTGCCGTAAAAAAAAAACTTGCGATTGTTGCAGTCACGTGACAACCTGCAAAATCAACTTATTGATGAATCCTTTCCAGCTGGTCGATGGCCTGCTATTATTATTATTATTATTATTATTATTATTATTTGTCTATCATCATTATATAATAATAATGATAATAATGATAATAATAATTAATAATAGTATAATAATAAGTATATAATAATGATGATAATAATAATAACAGTAATAATCATAAATAATATGATATAATAATGAATATCAAATAAATAATGATAGTATATAATAATGCTAATAATAATAGCAATATGAAATAATAATATAATAATAAT